CAAATATTATATTACAATATATACGTCTCTGCTAGTACATTTTTTAATTTTTACTTGTGTTACAAAAGCGGCACAAAATCATCTAAAGTCGGACTGATTGGGTTAGTCTAAAATATCATCTGAGGGAGATAAAGCTTTGTGCTCAAACAGACCGACTTCATTCAAATCTGGCTGATCAGGTTAGTCCAATATTCTACTAAGGGAGATAAGGTTTTGCAGAAATACATGTAAACCGCGGCGGTGACATTCGGCCACATCCAGCCAGCTCGGCTGCTTGCTGTTTGACGAGTAGCTCAAGTTATCAAAGTATGGTTTGCTTTAAAGTTCTTTTGTGTTAATGTATTAGTCCTGTCGATTTATTCTGTGACTATACTGAAATGGACAAAATATTTTGGAGATAGTTTCTTAATTCTGCCGGAAAGAATAGTCATATTCAAGTGGTCAGTGGTATAATAGGCTTATTTGCGGTGGTAGTTTTTGTGATATATAGCAAAACGTTAGTGACCCAAACATTGTGACGTGAATTGTGTACTGTAGTTAGGTATGAACATTGCAGTAAGTAGGTCAGAGGAAAGCATCTGCTTCGGGGAAGAGTGCGGGAAGCACAATTTCAGCAAGCAGAGCATCGTTAGAAAATTAATCAGAATATTTTGTATTGGTTGTATACTCACAACATACATACATTGTTGTATTTTTCACATACATATGGCTAGTTAAGAAAGTATCGAAGTGAATGTTTTTTCTGCCTATTAGTTGGCAAACCACAAAATGGCGACACTACGGTATGGATGAAAATGCTAGGGGTCGCTGCCGAAAACATTTGCATATGAATGAAAAGTGAATGAATGATATCCATATAAGGAGATATCAGCTACCATATAAGGGCTGAGAGACCATAAAGGTCATAGGTGGGGGCAAGTATCTACTGTGCAATTCCACGTTAAGTAAACTTCGTAGTATGCGCGATCCCCTAGACACCTGCGTTACCTAACGCATGTGTCAAAAATGGATTGTACCTCAATATTTGATTAAAGCTACAGTATTTCAAAATATAATTACACTGCATCATACAGATGTTTCATCCTTGTCAGGGGACAAAACGGTGCATAAAACCTTTACATTTATTAACTTAAAAATTAAGACGAGCGACCGTTGTGTACTTTGGCTAATGATCACAAATAGACATAGTTTAAAGAGTAAATGATTTATTTACAACAAGAATACATCAGAAACAAATCACACTCTCACACTCACACTCACTATCTAACAGATAACTAATAATGCTACAGTATATTAAAGCTTCACTCCTTGACGGCACAGATGACACAACATAGACACAGTCTGTTCCGAAGTATCAAATAGCGTAGCTCCAGTGCAGTATAATACTGATCAGATCACCAACGGTGATACATGTTAGCTCAATGACGCTAACAAACCTTTGCGTCCTTACAAAGATAACGTCCCGCAAGAAATACACATCACAAACTTCCAATGACTGGATAAGGTTTTATGTCTCTCGTTGAGACGCTGACTCTTCAGTTCTGGTGGATGACATTGACCTTGTCACCAAGACATCATCTTTTGAGAAGCTGACCTTGACCCCTTTGAATAGGTAGCATTCTGGTCGGTCCCGTTGCTCCTTACTAGATTCTGTGTGGTCACCCAAAATGACTGGTTCCCCGTCACGTGACGCTAGAATATATTAATATACAAATATAGAACACATCACTCTCTCATACAACTTAATTTACATACAAGTGTATTAAAGTATTCAAAATAGAAAATGTCAATCAAATAATAGTTTTACCATTACAAAATGTTAATGAAACTATTATAAATGATTTAAACTAATGTGCAGGTCCACAAATAACTTCAAAATCACGAAATCTCAAATGCGTTCTCTATTTCCACTCCCGGCTTCCATACATTTTACACGCGCACAGTTGCACAGTAGGCTAGAAGCTAATACCAACGAATCAGTGCTTCCATACATTTTTTTTATCGAACCGATACATGTCAGTGATAAAACAGATATTTACAATATACAAATACATCTGACTACTTATATTTACTATACATTTGCTATTGGATACTTGTCATAATCAATGGTAAAAACCATTATTAAACAGTGTAGAACATTGTAACACAATAACAACAAACATCACGCATGAGTGGACCGAACCGATAAACAGAAGGCTTGACCGATAAAATACAAGGTATAACGCAACGCAATGTAACGGTTACCAATACATGCGGACGTGACAGACTCTGTAAAGTATGTATATTATGAACCTTGCCACTGCTCAAAAGAGATAAAGGTGGGCATCAAGATTACAGCAAACCTCGGGCTCTAAAAAAACATCAGCATAGTCTACCACCTTATGCCTTGAAAGTTGGAAGTTTACGTTCTGGTAATAGAGAGCACCATTAACATTTGGTAATGGCACAGTATGACCAAATTAAAAAGAAGAATTACACGACAGCATATAGCTGTTGAGACTTCGTAGGGCCCAATGTGATGCTGAGGACCAATAGTTGAAAATCCAAATAGTCAAAACTACTGATGAAACAGTGTGGCAGGCATGAAGAACTCCTTGATTAAGGCCTTTAAAGTTTAGACGAGTTCTGGTACATTTCAGATATTTAACAAATACCAAATGAACAATGTTTAGTGTTTGATAATAAAGGTGCTTTTTAATATTTCTACATTAGTTTTATTTCTCTGAATCAATTGTTTCCTTATAAGTTCTTCATAAAACATTCAATGAGGAAATTGAACATGAGCAATGTTTTATATTTGTATAAATCTGCATGAGAGTTGTCTTATTGTTTGTTGTTGAGATATTTGTTGATCTACTGTGAGAATTGTGAACCTGTCAAGTCAAATAGATACATCATACGCGCTGTAAGAATATGCCGGTATTGCCAGATTTGAAACTCTACATTTTATAAAGGAGTCCTAAAAATCAGGCTTTGACAGTAAAGGCTGTAGTGTTTGTTAATGGTTTGTACACAGTGCTAGTGTAGTGTTTAAGACAATAGTTGTTTCCATTTTCAACAACATTCATAAAAGTACACCTATTAGCATTAATGCCACTGGCTTCATTACTTGTTCATGAGAAGTTGAACGGCCATGTACGAATTGATAAATACATAAGCTGTAGGTTAAAAAGTAATGCATCGTTCTTGTGAAAGTCTTGATATAAAGCAATTGCATTTTATATTTTTATTTCTCAAATTATCTTATATAATCGAATCCTTCCACATGATGCGTAAAACGTTTTTTAACTGAACCATAACATCGCCATTTATCAGCCCATTATCGCCAATCATAATTTGCAAACAAAATGATCAAATGACAACTTCTAAATTCTCACCTTTTCAAATTAACTCAATGTACTACAAGGATGAATGACTCCACTGGAAATGAATACGTTATAAAAAAAGATACAAAAGCTTAATCCCCACCATGCAAACAGTTGAGCAAAATATGTCCACAGCAGTCATAGACAATGTATCGTAAACACATTTTCTGGCAGCACCAGAAATGCTGTGCGACAGTCTATGACCATCCATTTACACATATATTGCTCTTCTTGGGTTTAGCTTGACATCTTCCAGAATGACAAAATCAAAATACTGCAGAGGCAAATGTTTGTTGTTAACCTCAAAGTATCCTTAAATCGATTTGATATAGTATGATCTTTACTGTTCTTGAACAAAACTCAGCTTACATAGTCAGAAACAAACATGGTCACCCTTGATTTGTGTTAGATAAAGGCATAGACAGAGGAGTTCGTTCGATGTTAGCTGACCAAACTATAAGTCCAACCATTTCATGGGAAGGCGTCTGCAGGTTGGAAGGTTTAACGTTTGAGATGAGCATACATTTTTCAGTTTGAGAAGAATTCAACTTTGTCTAATTAAGTGTCATTGAAGAACACATTTATCGACTGAACAAGCCTTGAATCTGTTATTTTTTCCTATATTTTTCATGTATTCAAATTAACTGTATGTACTTCAAAGGGTATTCCAGTTTCCTGATTTGTATTGCAGTACGGTGGCTTTGTTCGGTTAAATCTATTTTAATGGGTAAACATATGAAACGTATTTTTATTCACGGTTTGTTTCATAAGGTCGGTAGTTTCGATTGTTTTACCTTTCACTTTGTTAACAAATAGAGTGTTCTTTCACAACATGATATTGTTTTGACATTTCTGGAGAATATTATATATTTGTCATTAATTACATGCACATAAAAAGCAATATATTTTACACCTTAAGATGTGTCTTTTCCAAACAAAAAGTCTATCATTATTTTTGGGAATGATTCTCCTGTTTGATAAGTCATGTTTTTACTTTTTTATATTTTATAAATGCAATTTAAACAAAAAAAGGAGGGCATGTCAATTAGGGACTTCCGGTGACTATCACCGAGACCATTCTGAGAGTAAGTGAATATGAGGGGGGTAAAGTATAGGATCAAAATTATAATATACGCTCTCCTTTTTACAAAACCTCATGTTATTTTTAACCTTTCTTCATAATATTTATGCATTTTTAATTCTTAAGCTGCACATAATAAAATTGACAGAAAAAAAACCACATAATTGATAAGTAGTTCATGGTGAACTTGTTATATATCGGCTAAATCATGTCATGGAGTGTGTCTATTACATATTAGAACCATACAATAAGCTTACCAAATATTATCTAAAGATATCTTAGCTAAAACACAGGAAAAGAAGGTGGCACTTTGCCGGGTTATTAGGTTCTTATACATTTTAAACATTGTTGCTATATTTTTTGGTACAAAAGTCATACAACAACATCTTGCTTTCAGATGTAATAGTCCACAATTTTAATTGTATACAAATGCTTGGTTTTTCAATTTTTGACACTTTAGACATGGACTTAGACTCGACTTAGTTATGAAAGGTGCTTAATCGCCTCATATTTCTAGCGATTATTTGTATATATTTCAATCTGACGGTATGCAGGAAATGGTGATGGAGGCGTGGATGGATCTGTTCGAGCAGGAAACAGAGGATACCGTCAATGTTATAGAGGAGTCCCGAATGATGATACGTTCCACCCTCCTTGATTTCAATTACGAAAACCAGCAACTCAAAAACGAGGCACGCATGCTTGGTAAGAAGAGCAGGTTTATCGATATGATACCTAAACATTCAGCTTACTTCTCTGTTGTAATGTGTACACTGATTACAGCTTAATGTTAGTATTGTGCTATAGTAGACACATCATCGTCAAATATTGTAAACCTAAGATTTTTTCAGTTTTACGAATATTTATATTCTAAATGAGATTTATAATACATTTTTCGCAAAATTTTATTCTGAAAAGAAATCTGTCCTTATTTATTTGGAAAAAGTTTTTAATTACGACCTTCCCTATAATTCAACTAATTAATAGAACTTTTACCCTCTTTTTACTCATGTAGAAGAAAAACGAAAGCAAGATGACTTTAACCATCAACACAAAGGTCGAGAATCAAAAATGGAGGGTGAGATACGACCGAAGAGTCGAAGTCTTGCTCAAATACGTAATGAACGCGCTCAAAGTAGAGCACAGAGTCGCAATGACCGTAGTTGGGGTGATTTGGCAGATCTCCGCAGGGAAACATCATACATTCGAAGTCCCACTACGCTTAGTGTCAGTGAAGTACGACCAAGTAGAAGTCAAACCCGTGATAATGAGAGTTGGGGAGAACTGTCGGCAGCACGACCAGATAAGATTAGAAGCCGTAGCCCGAGACCAGAGTCACGCCCCTTCAGTACTCTCAGTTCGGGAGAGCCACTATTGACTAACGACCAGATGAAAAAGGTAATGCAGGTCGACGAACAAATACTGTCATATTCATTGTGAAGATCTATATTTTTTCTCTCATGTTTTACAGTTTAAGATTATCTGGCACGAGACTTTCAACATCACACAGGTCAAAAAGATTAAAAGAATTCTTCATAAATAAGAGGTCTAGGCTGTGTAATGTTTGTTAGTAGCATGCTTGGATGAAAAGCTCTCAAGTGTTTGTTCAATAAATGGCCTAGACCCACTTTTAAGGTAACAATGGTCAACAACATCATCTTAATAACCAAGAGACCTAGGGCCATGTTATTTGTGTTAATTATGAAAAGGACTTTGAAGTATGTGAAGTGATTTAATAGCTTAGACCAACTTTTAAGGTTACATTTAGCCTCTTGATATTAACATATATTATCATATCACAATTATATTCTTTCATATACATTTTTCAAATTGAAAGCTACAAAACTGTTTCTTAAAATTTAGATAAAATCCCCTAGTGCTTATAAGGGTACAATTTGGAGATGATGTGTACTCGTTTATGATATCTTTTTCTGACGTATTCAAGTGCTTTTCTCTACATAAAATAATGTAATGTGTTGCCATGATTTGGATTTGCTTAGTACACAGATATTGGCAGTTCTTGTACACATATCTTGCTCGTACATCGAGTTATATATTTCATTTATGTAGGAGACAGATATGATCATTGGCGACATGCAGAATGCTGACTACAAGTTAATGAAGGAACGAGAACGGCAGGTAGAACAGATGTTGAAGCGTCGGGAGGAGAAAATGGAGGATAAAAAGAATGAGCTGAGGAACCAAGCCCAGGCCATCTTGAACAAAGCCATCCAGATGAGTAACTCGTAAGTAATAAACATAAAAAAACCGGACACAAACAAACACAAACACACAAACTGTAGATTCTTGGAAAGAATAGAAAAGTTATATCTCATTATTGGTCGAGTGGTTAACATTCCGGCCTTCCATGCAGGCGGCCGGGGTTCGATCCCCGAAGTCGCCGTACGCATGGACTATTAGAGAAATTGTTTTTCTCCTGCCAACACAACTTCAACAACCCAGGTGGAGTATACAATGGTTTGGGGTGGGTGTTGCGGTATCTGTGCTGTAGCATTCAAGTGAGGTGGCACTATAAATGATACCGTTGGAAGCACGGTCCTACTACAAACAGAACACAATACATCTCCAGCACACACACTGGAATACACACATAGGGATATATTAGCCAGGTGGCACAGGACTAGTAGTTAGCGCCTGATAAGGCAGCTCCTGTGAATTCCTCAATATTGTATTGATTAATATATATATGCTCTTGTATTGAATGTATAAAATTGTATATCTATGTACTGTAAAGCGCTTTAGAGTGGCTTATGTTAGCCAGATAGGGCGCTATATCAAATGTTGTATATTTATTTATTAAAACATCGTATAAGGCGACATTGTGCTGTCTCCCTCCCTCGCAGATTTTGAGATTTTCTTTTGTGTATTCTGCTCAGGAGACATTTACGCAGAGACCGAAATTGGTCTGCTGCCCCTTATGTGATACACGGTGTATTTAGTTTTTATAGCTTACCTATTTTTTCAGTAGTTTTCCACATGTCCTTCTACTAAAGTCATTAAAGATGTTTCTGAAATAGTGCCATTCTATCGTGCTCAGATTTAGACATTCGTTAAGACATCGTTAATTTACATATGAGGTTAAATTTAGATTGGTTTGCAATCAATATTTTTTACAAATCCTTCAAATTAAAGAATCACCATCTCATGTTGTAATGCGTGCAAGGTTTAAACTGAAACACCGCTTATATTTCTACTTACCGACCTGATGCATTTCCCAATGATAATAACTGATATATTAGTGTATAGATCGTATTTCTTCAGATAACTATCTTCACGTAAATCCGTGAAAAGGGACATCATGAGTGATAAAGTGAAAACGACCTTTTGTTATACATAATGTACAGATATTACTCACACTGTTGTCGTTATGTATGTTTTTGTTTTTACTTGTAGGCAAATGTTTAATTTGTTTTAAATACTATTCCTAAGAACTAGGTGTAAATCATTTGATAGAAACATCAGATATTTTAAATAAATTATCAATTTGATCGTCTTCTTGTCTCTCATGACTATGGAAAGTCCGTTTGGTTAATTCAGGGATTAACCCATGTCGTGTTACCAACAAATACTTTATTTCCTTAAACAGATTCATGATTACCTTTAAACTGGTGACAATTCATAACCGGATAATGAAGAATCCTCTAAACAAAACGTATTATTATTCTAAACTTACCGATTTGTTAAAAAAAACAACACATTTTTTTAAACTGTCAACAAAATGTGACCTGAAATGAATTGGAATTTGTTTCAGGGCTGCCTCCGATAAGAAAAAGGTAGACATTCAACTGCAGGCCAGACTGGACGAGCTAAAGAAAAACAAAATGAAGGACTCTGGCCGACGATCTCAGCAATACCATGAAGAAATGGATGACATAGAGGAAATCCATATGTGATAACCACGCAATATATTTGTGTTTATAGTTAATGTTTGGTGATAGAGGAAAGTATCTGGTGACGGCTACGTCATTAGGGGAATCCATTGTGTTATTTAGATGAAGTTACTTTGGCAACAAAAACTATGTCATATATTCAGTGACCAGGATTTATGTTTTTTGGTGAAAAATTCAATAGAAATTCATGATTTTATGACTGTGACAAAGTATGAAACAGTTTGGACATAACAGAATGGTACAAAGGGAGATAATCTCAACATAATTACAACGATTGACAAAATTCAAGTGGGAGTGCATTGATTTCATTCCAGACAAATACACTTTTAAATAGGGAGTTGTAAGATATCTTTGTTTAACATGGTTTTATAATTCAAATTACTTCAGCTGTAAGTCTCATTTAGATAAACTCAGGTGTCGCTTATGTTTTGTACATATATATTAATTTTTATCAAAGGAGTTTTGTACGATCACAATTCTTATTGGTCATTTTCTTCTCAGCATCTTTCTCGATTAAGTTAAAAAAGTGACGTAAAACTCCAGTGAAATATGATATATGGCTAAAATTCTAATGTTCTAACAACAGATACCAGTATGATTTTTTATCTGTCAAAACCATGTCAAATTGAAAAAAAAACAGAAGTTGTTAAGGATGATTCTTTGGCACTGGATCTTTCTTAGGTAAATTAGTGTTATTATTATTCAGATAAAAATATAACTATGTAGCTATATATTTTATATACAGGATACTTCTTTGTACATAGTATATCATTTCGTTCTGCCGTTATCTGTTTAAATTCATAAAATTTTGTAATTTTAATAATCTATGTTGTATTTTATATTATACAATGATGTGTAAAAATAATGCCGTCAATAATTTTAAACGGGTGTTTTGAAAACATATTCATTGGTGATCAATCGAAATAGCCTTATTTTAATATATCTATATATGTAGGTAATTATTAAGCGCTTAATACAGTTTCCATACATCTATTTATAGAAATAAGCAATATTTTAAAGTTGCTTTTGATTGTTCTGACATGCCACTGTCTGATATTGTCTGGAATACAGAGTCTGTTCAGTTTAACAAATCAATGTGTAACCTGAAAGACATATGTGTTGTTTTGAAATATACATTGTAGCAGTATAGTTAATGGGAAAACGTCCTCAATTCATATATTCTGAATAAACGGAACGGTTTAAATTGCCATAAATGGTTTTTAGTATTTCGCATGGGCAAATTGTGTTGCACTACATTTCTTTCGTAATATCAACGTGTTACTATATTCACGAACAATGCACCTTTTAAACATGTTGCAAACGTTCCAAGATCAACTCATCCCTTTGTCAAGCTATGACTTCAGTCAGTCTTGAAACGTTACGACATGTTGAATGCGTACATTGCTTGTGTTTAAGGAATATTTTGATATTACATACGTATATCCAAACTGGTAAATGTTATTGAAGAAACTTTGTTCGTAGTTTGTTTATATAAGTAAGTGTTGATTTAGCACACTTTCATTTGCAAACAAAAACAAAAAAAGTAAAATCAACATCTTAGGATATTTTGAGAACTATGTAACAACCATTCCCTTAGAATGGCATACATACACGGCTAACGTGTAACAAAGGATCGACATCAATTGTGTATTTCTCGATATTTAGTAAAATATGTTTGCCTTTAAACAAAAGTAATCTCATTGACGATAATATTTTTTTTTACTATAATCAGTACTTCATTAACATCATTTTCACTGTCATACCTTATGTAAATATGTTTAATGTTCTAAGAAATGATGACAAGCGGTTTGACATTTTACTTATTGTTGATGTAGTTTATATTGTTACAATGTCGTTTTCTATAATAAAATTGCATTTCTAAATCTTGACAAACCTTCTGACCCACGAAGACTTTTGTAAAATTGTTCAACATCTTGTTTAATATAAAATCTTGTTATAACGTTTCATATTCCCGATTCCCCCATACTGAAAATGGTTTTTCTCTCCTTCATATGAAATGTGTTCTTGATAAAAACCTACATTGACCTTACAAGTGTAACATTGACTGAACAATATTTTCTTGAATTATCTACACATTCATGAAATATTTTTTGAAAGAACAGCTGGAAGATGGTGTTCTTACTTGTAAGATATACTTATACATATTAACAAGTCTATTTAGTAAGTGTTTATTTTCAGGAAGCTGCGCCAGTTGCTTGTTGTCTGTTGTCGGTAGATTATCTTCCACTGATCAAAAATACAGTATAATGACGCCACACATCACATTTAGAAAGCATTACGTTATAGATCATTAGCCAACAAGGTAACCAGGTGCGTCTATGTTTGATACCGTAACATGGCATGGATGTCCTTGATCTTGGATACAGGTCCGCAGGGATGGGGGAAACGTGTACAATTATCTTATTTCATGATTAAAGCTGGCAAATTAAAACAAACAAAATGCGTTAACTCATAAACTAGAGGCATGATGTCAATTCCGAATGCGTTATTTTAGAGAAAAAAACCCACCCAATTGTATCAATATTCATAACATATTTTGGTATGAAAGGTAGTAATAAACTACCGTTAATTCGTCTCAAAGGCCCGGGATACTACTACTACTACAGCGTCTTTAGTCATGCGTGAACGCAATTACAGCCTATATGTTGTTCACATTGTTTATGTATAGTAACCACGCGAGACCGACTACTGATACAATACTTAGGACACGCTTGGCATCACTATCGAACGGATGTGATGTCAGGCTAATTTTTAGTCTGTTTTAATTTTTAATATGGATAGATCAATACCAATGGATGCTTACCTTGTGAATATGTATATACCTTTTTAGAAGATAGGCAGTCAGTATATCACACGGCTGGAAAAGGATAACCACTCCTGAAAAATAGAATTACAGAACTCATCTTTTCCTGAAAAGCTGCATTGAACTTCGAAACCAAGGATCGTTTCGGCAGCCATTGTATCGAACACACATGGGAAGGATTCCATAGACTTTTCACCCTTGAACGAAATTTCACGGTAAACAGAACTTCATTAGGAAGTTGTGTTGATATCTGTTCGGTATTGGACATTAAGTTTACCGTATTATACAAAAGAAATCAGCATGACTCAGGAGGAGACACCAGCCATGAATATGACGGAGAATGTGGATGATGCAGTGTTCAAGTATCTCAGCTCTTCCGAGATGTCATCAGACCTAAGGGTACGTATATTTTTTCGAGTACCTCGAGTTGATCCTTATTTGTACCCCCCTGAACTTATTATGTTATTTGGAGCTAAAAGAACAAGAGAATACCGAAGTTTCAACCAATAATCTAGAACCCAAATAGGGAAAAGGCAAAAGGTGGAAAAAGCCAATGTTATAATGAGAAAATAGGAAAAGTAGGGGAATACTGTCAGGTTTCCCGAAGAATAGTCGACAATAATTCAAATTGTCAACGAACGCAAATTTTTGTAAAAATTGTGTTTTATAGCAATAGACATGGTACTTGTTTTATCATTGTCTCGTGATGGATGGATTTCTAATTAAATGATAAATAAATGGGATATAGATGTTATTATCCACACGTACTGCATCAATGCACAATAAGACATGCATGGGCTCACCATACAAAGATGGCCTCGTGATAAGAAAGCATAGAAATGAATCTTTCTGACAGGCAACAGCAATGGTGAAAGAAACTTGAAATTGATATTATAAAGAGTTTTACGCACTTTCCCTTCTGTTTCTCCAATAGTATAGACCGATTTGGACTTCTAACTTTTGGCCTTTAGCATCATCAATAAGTAACAGAAGGACGAAACGTCAGCATGATGCAGAGTAATTCATTTTTGGCACTTTTTGATCTAAAAGTCAATCACCTATTTGTGTTACGTCTTCTTTCTATATCCCGTTTTAAATGGCTACCTTTTGCCCAATATTATTTCATTTGGTATTCAGCATAACTACGTTTGGTTATCTGTAACCGACTCTACTTGAAACGTGCAAATTATTTGAAACCATTATGTAGGCTTCAGAAGGTCATATTTACCATACCAAATGCAGCTGAATTCATGTTGACTGTAAATGCCAAAACCCACACGTCATCATTAATATGACGTCATATTTGTAATGTTGGATACCACCGACCCTCCATCGAAGATTGCTGTTCTATTCAAACATGCACAATACTTACTGTTATAAGAAGTACATGCAGAATTTCATAAAATATATTTAATTTCAGTGATATTAAAAACAAATCCCAACATTAGAATACAATGGCATAAGTAGGTCAGGAAGAAGCTTCACACTACGCGGTGAAATATCATAATATCAGGCAGGAAATCGAAATCGAAATAAACACAGCAATCAAAATGGCAATACAGGACAGGATATTAAAGGAACTCATAATCGACATTAGACCCATGTGGTGAACCAACTTTTGGATATAGCGATTAAATGAAATTATACAACGATAGAATTTCCTGAAAAGGAACCCAACTGCAGATCAACAAAATGTTAATCCATGTTGGACATCTATAACATGTCAACTCAGAGGACCTCTTCCTCACATTTAATAAAATGTGTCCTTTTTATATTGCCTAAACACAGTGCCGTTATTTTTTCTTCGAACCTAGAGTAAGGGCCACAGTGAACAAACAATCAATAAACTATATCAACACAAATGTATCCTGACAATAATGTGACCTCTTTCCAGAACCTGAAATGTAATTAATTTTTATATGATAATTAATTTTGGAATGCAATAGCTTTTTCATCAAGTATACATTCTCTTAAGTGCAGATGTGTCATCCTTTACTGTTCTGCCGTCCTATTTTATTGTATTTTATCTATATTCAGTGATTGAAATTAAAATGGGAGAATACCCGAGTATATTTTATCAAAACATTGCCTATAACTTCGTACTGATAAATGGTAGCTATACACCAATTCCATTCTTCAACAACCACTATAGGTTTCATCACTCCCGACTCATTGAATAAACCTGCTAGGTATTGGTAAACATTTCTGGTAGCCCACTTGTCGACAACACACTGGACGTTTATTTCATTTCATTGGTCAATCTTCTCATTATGTCAAGTAACGATGCTTTTAGTCTTCAATTGTGACGTCATAATTGATGGCAATTGTTTCAACCCATCGGAAAGAGACATAGTGTAATGTTTTTTCCAATGGAAATATGTGGTTTTCTAGATAAAATATAATTGATATGGGGAGAAAGCGGTCCCCAAACCCGTGATATTTGAAAGTCATGTATATTAAACTCAAGTTACTTAAGTTCCAAATGTTCAAAGAGATTTGGGTAACCTTTATGCATTTTGAAAATTAGATAACTCGACTAAGATTACATGATAGCCATTCACTATCCGTTTTGGAACCCCAATATGTGTCACTAATATAAAAAGTCATGCTATTGAAATCATACAGTGATTTTTCTTATTGTCGCTGTCTGGGTATGTATTTTATTTCACCAAATGACAAATTAATCTATTAATTAAACAAAATCTACATTTCTCAGACATGCATTTCCTTTCAAAATATGTTAGGAAGCATGTGAATTATATTTACGGATTTTACTTTGTTCAATAGTTATACCCGTGTATCGTAAACATTAAGGAACTTTGTCAGGCTCGTCCTTTTGTCGCAAACATTTCACCATCTACAGTGTATGCCAGGGATTTCTAATGTATCGATAACGTCAACCTCTAGTGTATCCCATTAAAAGATTAGAAAAGAAGGCACATCTGCAACTGAGTGGGATAACAATGGTAGTTGTTACAAGGCTTCCATTTAATTGGAGAAATTTAACAATCATAATCACGATATGATTTCCATTGCGTAAGTGTCTGCTTTACTCATTGGCGACCTTGAAAATTTCCTGGGTTACGTCTTGAAATATATTGTGGAGGAAATGCTTACCCTTTATTTTTTGGTGATGTTAAAGTTAAAGTCTCTACGTTTCATTTTTTTCTGAGTCTATATTTTTGTGATAACGTTGTGTTACAGTGTCATTTTTTAGTGTCTAATATTTTTCATATTAGGTCGAGCTATTAAAGAATTCAGGTGCAAAGAATTATACATTCATTAATGACAATCTATCTCACGATTTTAATTTCTTAGATAGAAATGGCCAAAATAATTATTAGGACTCGACTAAAAACAAACCCAAACATATGCTATGTTTCCATGCAATTGCATCAATGTGGATGCTATAAGCGGAAATTTTGATAATAGAAAACTGATGTTAACAGTATATGACAACTGATATTGTTGTACATTGTAATAAGACTGTATGGGAAAATATAAAACTCACCATATGGTCTATACATCAGAATTCATGGCTTTGCATATAGTCTAATTATTTTGACTGAAAACTAACAGAAAAGAAGAAATATTTCATCAACAGAAAACATGTTTGCAAAAGATTCGTTAGTTTGACATGCAGTCCCAATCTTTAGCACTTCCTCAATTATATTAATGAAGCAATTGGATATTAATTGAGTTCTAAAACATATCCAATGCTTAAAACGGCCATGACAATACATCGGAATTTAGTAACTGTTCTGTCAATGTTAGCCTGGATATAAGAGTGTTGTCTCTGGACAGTCTTAAGATATGAGTACATACTGGTATTCATACAAGATGCTTCTAACATTGGCAGGACATCTCTAAAACCCTGATCAACGCCTACATTGTCGTTTTGCTCCAACCATGTGAGCTTGTCTATGATGTTATGAAAGTATATGTTCCATACTCAAATGGTCAGGACCAAAGACCACTGAAACTATAGATTTAGTCAATGCTTGTACTGTATAATGAAATACTAGGCAGGAAAATGCCAAAAAGAGCGGAACACTTAATTACAAGAGATAAAGTAAAGGAGCATTTTGTGTAGCTTTGGTATATACCAAAGAAGAAAAAAACGGGACCAAACACGAACGGATGTTGAGAAACTGTTCTGTGACCAACCTATCCAAGCTTTGCAGTCAGGGTCATCCATTTCAACATTTGGATATTTTATAAAATAGTGTAAAAGGCAAAGGAATTACTAATTGTTGTGTTAATAGGAAATGTTGTCCCAAACATGTTTTAGCCATATCATTGCAATATGTCATATTATTTAGAAGCCATTAATCTACACCATCGTAAAGGAAATTGTTTATTCTTCCAAATGAGCTACAAACTGGTTTGGTGACTTTGGGGAAATTATTGATTTTTGAAATGTTGAATTTAGCGAATCTTCAAAATTCTGTTTTCCGGACACGAGCAGGAATAAATGTCAGTTCAATTATCTCTACTAAGTAGCGTCATTTTGTCGACATAAACCGATGTAAATGAATGCCATTTTCAGTTTGACCTCTTTCTTGTCTCCTTAAGACTCCCTACACGGACCCCAGAGACTTTAGTTCAGCGAGGTCAAAGTGTTTTCATACTTTATCGGCCTTGTTTAATCTTATTCAATGCCCTACTGTTGATTGTGCATTCTACTGTGGATGCACGACGATGAGTTCAAAGGGCCAATCAGAAAGCACCCTGTTTATCATAGGCGTATAGACACTGATGTAGACATTGACAGAATAGATTTAGTAAACATAAAAAATTATGTTTGTTTATTTTAGTGGGAAAATATAACTTGAGATTGGAAAAATAATCAACTCGGGCCACATGCGTTGATTGTTTCTTAAATATATCTATTGATAGAACATTCTTTAACAATATTGTGGTAAGTTTTAAGTGCAGCTAGTTAGGTGTTTACCTTAACTGTATTGTCAATTTATCTTTGGGAACCAGGGTATTCACACCGCCACCATTGTAGTGTATTTTGTTATGTCTTTACAGTTTCTAATTATAACAATGTAGCTTATACTCAGATCGTCGTCAACAATCTGTTTAAAACTTTAGTGTATTAATTCAGTTTTCATCAATGCAATGGCGAACCATGTCAACCAGGGTTTGAAATATTAAAATTATATAGATCATAAATCATAGATTCTTTAAATGGTTGGTAGATTGAGACACTTTAAGCCTGCAATAAACAGATACGTGTAATAGAAATACGCCTCATCTTCTCGAATACTAAATGCGTTTGCTTGTGTTTTCAGAAAGTGCATTAGGCTTTCATTTATATTTGATGTGACAATCAATTAATATATTTGTCTCTAGGGTTTTCTACTGGCCCTGCGCGCCTCAATGTCGCCACC